TCAGTACTGCTGTGGTAATTACAGGATCACAAGAGTCACAACTTGTATCACAAGTTCTACAAGAAAACTGTCTAATACGGATTTGGCTCTGCTTACCATTTGCTCACTGGGTTTGTATCTTGTCCTGCCAAATTCATTTTTTTAAGCATTTTATTGAAATATAATTTATGTACAGTGAAATACACAAAACTAAAATGACACAGTCAATGAATTTTTTTTTTTTTTTTTTTTGCAGTGTTCCCTCCCCTCCCCTCCCACCTCTGGTAGATATGTAATTATCGGCAAATATGAATCTGTTGCTGTCATTTTTATTATGTGCTTTTTTGTGGTGTCAATTTCTTTGTTCCATATAATTTTCTATGCTGAGCTCATTTTGTTTATGAATTGTGTTATCACTTCCTTCATTGCTATTGTTTTAGTATTTGCTGAATATTTATGCTGGTCCTCTTTTTTATTTTGATATGAAGGTTTATCATTTTCTTTGAGATTACCCTGTGATTTATAGTTTTCTTCCCAGGTTTAAAACCCTCTGTTCTATCTTGTAGTTGTCTTGACTTCCCCACCATCTAGAAGTTCTGTAACAACACAGCTTTTTCCTTCTTTTTGGTTTGTGCTTGTCCTCATTTGTCAATTGATGTTTCTGGTTCCCTGTTTACAATCTTGTAAGCTTATTTTCTTTGGATACTTCCATAGCTGGGTTGGTTTCTGGGTTACATCATCATGTGTGTTAATGGTCAGTTGTTAGCTGTTGTTGCTTCTCTGTCCGAAGGGCTCCCTTTAGCATCTCTTGTAAGGTTGGTCTGGTTTTAACAAATTCCCTTAATTTCTGTTTATATGGAAATGTCCTAATTTCACCATCATATTTGAGGGACAATTTTGCTGGGTATATAATTCTTGGTTGGAAATTTTCCTCTTTCAGTGTTTTATATATACCATCCCATTGTCTTCTCCCTGCATGGTATCTGTTGAAATCCAAGCTTAGTCTTATTGGTTGCCCCTTGTAGGTAACTTTTTGTTTTCCCCATGCTGCTCTCATGATTCTTTGTCTTTGGTTTTGGTGAGTTTGATGATGATATGTCTGGGTGATTTTCTTATGGCGTCTATCTTTTTGGGGTTTGCTGGACTTCCTGAATGGATATATTCTCATCTTTCATCATACCAGGAATATTCTCTTCCAATAAATCTTCAACAATTTCTCTTGTGGTTTTATTTGTCTCTTCCTGTTCTGGAATTGTGATTACACATAGGTTATTATTCCTTTTGATGGTATCCCACATGAACCTTCAGCTTTCTTCATTTTGTTTTGATCTTTTTTCTGATTTATCCCTTTCCAAAGTAGTGTTCAGGTATTTGCCTCCAATCTCACTAATTCTGTCTTCCATTGATTCAATTCTGCTCCTTTGCCCATTCAATGTCTTATCTATTTCTGACAATTTAGTATTAATCTTCTGGATTTCTGCATGTAGATTTTGTATAATTTCTAATTTTTCATTTATTTTGTCAGTTTGTTCTTGTATTGTCTTTCAAAATTGTTCTAGGGTTTTCTTTGTGTTTTCCTTGATCTGTCTCTCAATCTCTTGAAAATACCTAAATATAATTATTTTGAATTCCTTATCAGGGAGTTTCAATGCTGCGTCTTCCTCAGGGATGTGTTTTGGGTCTGTATCCTGGTCCCGTTTCTCCTGCTTTATCTTGCTTCTTTGTGTGAACTGTGATGCTCTGTTGTCTCCGAGGCATTGTGACATTTTTGTGTTTATATTTAATTGGTGATTGTATGTTGGAGTGACTTGCCCAAACAGAGTCTGTTTGCCAAGGTTGGCAGGAACACATGAGAGGCTGACAACAGGAAACAAGACAGGTGGTGAGTGTATAAGTGCTGTCAACTAGTGAATAGAGGAGCACAGCACAGTACCCTGCTTGCGTAGATAACATACAAACAAAACAAAAATCGTGGGCAAGTCACTCCAACATACAATCACCAATTAAATATAAACACAAAAATGTCACAATGCCTCGGAGACAACAGAGCATCACAGTCCACACAAAGAAGCAAGATAAAGCAGGAGAAACAAGGGACCAGGATACAGACCCGACCTTGGTAAACAGAGCCTATTCTTAGGTCCCTGAAATCCGAATGAGAATGCTATCACTTTAAAATTCAAAATGGTTGTCACTTATAAACATTCAAAATGGCTTCACCCTCAGTCACTTTAAATATCTAAAATGGCTGTCATGTGTAAGCAATCAAAATGGCTGCACCCTCAGTCACTTTAAATATCCGAAATGGCCGCCACTTGTAAACATTCAAAGTGGCTGTGTCCTCAGTCACTTTAAATATCCATAATGGCCACTGCTTTTGAACATTCAAAATGGCTGCACCCTCAGTCACTTTAAATATCCAAAATGACTGCCACATGTAAGCAATCAAAATGGCTGCACCTTCAGTCACTTTAAATATCCAAAACGGTTGCCACTTATAAACATTTAAAATGCCTTCACCCTCAGTCACTTTAAATATCCAAAATGGATGCCATAAGTAAGCAATCAAAATGGCTGCACCCTCCGGACAGCAGAAAGTCAACAGCTCAGGTTGTGTCCCACCTTGCTATTTCCCTTTCTAATCATAGGCCACCAGTGCAGTCGTACCTGCAGCCCTGGTGACCAGGGCTGATCTTTAGGTCAATTCTCAGATCCCAACACCACTTGGAAATATTCAGGCCGTTGGTCCTATCAGAGTAGCTGACAGTTCACAGCTCTGACAGTCTCTGTACTCACTGTTTTCATTCAGGTTTTTCTATTAGTTGGTGCCTAATCTGCTTCTATATAGTTCATTTCAAAGCTCAGGGCTCCAGGATTATCTTCTGTATCTCTGTCAATTAGGTTTTCTTTTCTTTATTGAAGAGGGTCTGCGTCACTTGTCTGCCTATTCCTCCATCTTACCAGAAGAAGTCCCCCCACATTCATTTTTTAAGAAGTCATTATATTAAAATGTTTCACACATTATTCTACCTAACATTACTATGCAGACCAACTTTAGATTGAGAGTGACTGACAGAAGTTTTTGTTAATGACATTGATAGATTTGTTGGACAAGTAACCCATTTATAAGTTTGTTATTTTAATTCTGTCCACAATGTGTTCCAAATATTTTTTCCAGTGTCTTTTGCCATACAGAATTTTTCAATGTTTCTTATTGAGATGTCAGACTTTTTATGACTTCAGTTTCCTGACCTGCCTAGGAAGACTTTAAAAATTCTCCTATAGAGTCACTATTAATTGGAATGAATCCACGACAACAGCTTTGGTTTTATATGCTCTTATAGGACTTTAAATTGTTAAATCTTTACTCCATTTATAATTTATTTGTGAAGCAACCTCTGTAGTTTTCTTTTAGTTAGTTGGATTCAGAAATTTCCTAGGACTTACTTTCTTTAAAATGAAGATGAGTTGACTTTTGTTCCTTTAAAAATCTGACCCAATTCTTTTTTCAAAAGCATTTACTTTGCTTACAGAGTACATGTTTATAAGAAAGTTGAATAACTATGCAAGCACAGGCTCTAAATAGAAGTCCTAATAAATTCTAAAATGCTGCTGTATGCTGACTGAGGGCACAATTTGATCCCTAAAGCCCTCTCCAATCTAAGGCTCAGTGAAAACAGCAAACAAAAGGCCTCAGTGTTAGTGGAAAACAGAGTTTTTCAAAGCAGGTAAAGGTCTTGTTTACTCCTTCCAGAAAGCTGAGGAGAAAAGGGGTTCTCAGATTATAAATGACAGAGCTGCCCTTGTGCAGCATAGAACAATTGAGATAAGGCCTTACTTCTTAAGGGCCTAAGTTAGGAAGACAGTGGAACAGCAAGGACTAAAAATGAACAAAAAGTAAAGCTTTAGCTTTGACGCAAAGAAGCAGATTAGTCCTTGAGGAAACCGATGATTCTTACTTTTTAAAAACTTTCCATTTTAGCAAAGGCTAAGTACCGCAGTGCCTTAAGCATCTGACTCAAATCCACCACCCACTCCGCGAAAGCAAGACTGGGCAGTCTACTTTCATACAGATTCTACCCCCTCGGAAACCCATCTATGAGTCGGGTCGCTTTGAGTCCAAAGCGACTGGATAGCAGTGGGTTTTGGTTTGGTAAGCTTTTATTTAAGGAGAGTTGGTGGCGCAGTGATTAAGGCATGTCTGCTAACCAAAAGGGCAGTGGTTTGAACCCATCAGCGCTCTGCTGGTGGGTAACATGAGGCTTCCTTAAAGATTTACAGCCTAGGAAACCCTATGGGGTAGTTCTACTCTGTCCTGTAGAGTCGCTGTAAATCGGGATCAACTGGATGGCAGTAGGTTTAACCTTTCTTTATGTTACAACACATCCAAGTGAGCAGCAGCACACAGGATGCATGTGATTTCCAAATGCTACAATTGAGCCAACAGCAGTTGTCCGGGTATGTAGTACGGAGGCGTGACCAAAAAGGACTACAGGGAGCAAGGGTTTGATCTGCATCACCAGATACTCCTAGTTTTCTACAGGGTAAGCTTTGCTAAAATGTTTCTCCCCACTTGAAAGTGCCCCCGGCAACAATTATTCACCTAATCCGAGCCAAGGCCTGGGGCTTCAAGGTGTTGAGTCACCGGGTACAGCGATCGCGCGACATAAATATTGATGACGGAGATCCTAGGGGAGCAGGTGCCAAAGTAAACGGCTGGCAAAGAAGACTGTGGTTATGACTTAAGGCTGGGGGAAACAAAGAGGCTGAGGCAGGATTCCAGTCCGAAAGGCATCTTAAGTTTGAGGCAAATTTCAAGCTTAGCTTGTCACATATGTGCGTGCCTAAAACCAAACTCACTGCCGCGGAGTCGGAGCCGACTCAGTGACCCCTCCTTGGGTTTCCCATGCGATATCACTACTGAAGTAGACTGCCCAACCTTCCTTCCCGGGAGTAGCTGGTGGGTTTAAACCGCCAGCCTTCTGGTTACCAGTCAAATGCCTTAGGGACTACGCCACCAGGCTTTGTGGCCTGATCTCTTCCAGATGAGAGACGGGCATCTTCTCCCACTCCCACCCTTTACTCGACCCAAGCTACATTCACTCCTTCCAGTCCCTGCTCCGCCCCCACAATCCCCTGCCACTGGGAAGCTCCGGCTACGGCGCTTCGCCATTCATCAACCGGTTCACTCCGGCGGCGGCTGCAGCTGGGTGACGTCCACAGGGGGCGGATCTTCGCCCCCGCTTGTCGGAGATGGGCTCGGTGCTACGGCCACTGATTGGTACCCGAGTGTGAGCACGTCGCGCCGATATAAAAAGGAGGGCTTGTGACGCAAGGGCGCCTGGATGCGTGTATTGGCTCCTTTTGCTGCGGGCCGGCTAGGCGACGCGCTCTCTTCGGAGCGGCTCACTGCATGGTAGAGCCTGGTGCCCCCGCCGCCGCCTGCACTGCTGCCGCCGCCGCCCCGCGACGACCATCGCCGCCCCCTGCCCTGTAGCCGCTGCCACTGCCGCCGCCTGTGTCGCTGCCGCCTCGGGACCGGCTGTATGATTAGGCCACAATCTTCAATGAGTAAACATATTCCTGTGAGTAGCCGTCGCACCGTTGCCTCTCGGGCCGAGAATCCGCCGCTGCCCCCCCCATTCCTACCGATGCCTTTGTTCGGAGACCGGCGTCCGCTTCCCGCCTCACAGGCACGCCGCTCCGTTGAACCCCCGGGAGGAGCGGACCACCTTGCGGTTCTGTGGCCAACCATCCGCAGCTGGGTACTGGGAGGCGTCGTGAGGGTCCTCAGCGGCGGTTATCTGCTGGTGGCACCTACTTCACGTCCCTACCGGGCCCGGGGCGGCGGGGGTGGTGCAGCCCGGCCTGCGCGCCGGGCGGGGGCGGTTTCGGCCGCCGCAGCGGACCGGGTGGGGCGGCACAAAAGCCGCTTTGTGACCGCCGCCTCCGCCCTTGGTCCTCCGGCCTGGCGCGCCCGGTCCGGGCCCGGTGGGCTTTGCGGCGTCCCGGGGCCCCTTTGTTCGGCCCAAGAAGGGCAGCCCGCCCGGGGAGCGGGAGACGTGGCCCGGGGTGGGGCGAGGGCTGCGCGTGTCACTGCGGAGCCGGATACGGGGAGGGCGCGGCGGCAGGGTCGCCACCAGACCCGGGTCGGCGTGGGGTAGGCGGGGCGGCCCGGCGTAGTGGTTACGGTGTCGGTGGGGAGTTCTCCGAGCCGGAGTCCGAGTTTAGGGACCGGCGCGGGACAGGAGCCTGGTGTGGCTACCCCTGTGCTTTGCGGCCGAGACCGGCGCCTTAGACAAAATGGCTTCGGCGCCCGCGCCTGACTGAAGGCGCGGCGCGAACCCGTGATTGCGGCGCTGAGTGGGGGCGCCTCGGGCGGGCCCGGGCGCGCACCGCGGCGTGCGCGGAGCGGCAGCCATCGGGGGCTATCCACGAGCTGCTGCCCTGCCGGTGCTGAGCCGGGCTCTGCTATCTGCTAGGTAAGGAACCGCATTCCCTGCTCCGCCCTCCTCTCTTAAGTCTCCACCTGGTAATTCGAGCTGTTCCGGATTTAACACCCCACCTCGGGTTCCGGATAATGGGAACAAGTCGAGTCTTGTCCTTTCTCTGAGGCAAGTCGGTCGAGAAATGACCCGAGTTTAAGCGCCTTGGAAACTGCTAGGGCTAGGGTTACACTGAAGCAAAGGAGACTCTGGCTGGTGCACTAGCCTGCGGTTTCCCTGCACATCTCGGAAGGACCCTGGGTGGCGCGTTTTAATCGGGGACTATCTAGGACTGTTCTTGAAATCTTTGGCGTAATGTATTTCTTCCTGTTGCTTTCTGGCAACAGTAGTCCTCCAGAGTCAGAATTCTGAGGTTTTATCTTTTGTCCACGGAAGCTTCTACCATTCCAAGAGTCTGAAGTTATTTACGTCGTGCGTATTTGGAACCATCGGCTTGCTTAGGATCCAGATTCTGAGGCAATGCTTCCTGTTACTCTTATTATGTGAATTTTGTTTGATAGCAGTAAATAAGTTGAAAACCAGAAAGCTAGATGGTTCCCAAAAGTAAGCATTTTACACATGCTTTATCTAAGACATAAGTAAATATGAAATGGGCTCTAATTAATTTGAGAAAGCAGTTTTACAGATTGATGGGTTTGGCTCTGCTATCCAATAGACTGACTTCCTTCCCTCCTCACGTCCCATGTATATGATTGTGATTTTTATGCAACTGACATGTAGAAGAGAGAGAGAAAAAAAAATAACTGCATGTCAGGAGTAAATTAGAAATAGGAAGAACCAAAAGGTGGTAGTCACTGATGCTTTGGTAGAAATCCCCCAGCCACTGGGTGGCTCCACTCAGTGGGGGAAAAAAAAAAAAAAAAAAAAGTAGTCATTGCCCTTAACTTTACCTTATCTTCAGTTCTTTGTCATTGGAAAAGTGCCAGAATACCCTTCATATGTTTTAAGGAGGTAATATTTAGGATTTGCGTGAAAATACTACAGTCACTAATTCATTATGGAAGTGATGTACTGTAATTGACACAATACTAGTTTTAACCCAGCTGTGAGGTACTACCTATGAAGGCTCATTTGAACGTATTTGGCATAATGAAAGTTACTATCCTTGTAGAATCATGTAACAAATGAATTGTAATGTTCCTTTGTTTTGCCGAAAACTGAGTTCACTTGATGTTTTTTGTTTATCTGATAAATCTCTCTGTATGGCTCATTCAAATTTTAGCAAAATTGTATTAGAAACTATAACTAGCATGAGACTTTAAAGGTGTAAAATGAAATGAGAGCAGATCGAATTTAATATTAAGCTTCTTAAATGTTTAGATTTAACATGGAAAACTACAAGTCGTCTTTTTTTTTAATGTTAGGGGATTTTCTATTTGGAGATATTCCTAAGCATTTGGAGCAGTGACTGGCTCTAATACTTATCTCTCTTAGTTCTCTACTCCAGATATACAAGTACCTTATAAACTACTTGAAAGAAAATTAACATTGATGCCTTTCTTGTACATATTATTTATTGGTGATAGTAGTTACCTTGCTTTGAAACTTGAAGTCAAGGATAAATTTCACTCCCTACTTCCCCCACTCCATTTATCCTCTCAATTAGATTTCCAGTTCAAGGTGAATTAATTTTTGGTTTTAAAATACAAGAGAATATTATTAAAATTAGTATTATACTTTATAGTTAATACACAGGAATACAGGCAGTCCCTGGATTACAAACATGTTCTCTTCCTGGAACAGTTAGGTACGGGTCATATCTAACGTCAGTCAGATGTTTGTCTTAGTACATAGTGTTCCTTTCTGCGCGTAAGAAACATTAAAGAAACACATCCTATTTGCATGAAAACTCTTTAACATAATTATACAGTAATAATCATGGTTTAAAGCACATCGCAAAAGTAGTACCTATTCATTATTGCCAAACATGTATATACCTCAGATTTTTAATTCAGGTATTTTAATTCAGGTTTATAACTGTGCTGTACGTTCATTGGACCTTTGTAACCTGAAGACTGTACTGTATTTTTAAGAATACTTTCTCCACCATAGCAAGTTGTTTAGCTTCTAGGGACTCAATTTCTTCATCTGTTAAATCAGAATGATGAATTAATGGGTTGTTGAGGATCAGATGAAATAATGTATATGAAAACGCTTTGAAAAGACCATTGATGTTGGTGGCTACCATCAAATCTTCCCCCAACTTATGGTGACTGCACTTGTTTCTGAGTGGAACAGCTCCATAGACTTCACTTGGCTATAGTTTACGGAAACAGCTTGCCCAGCCTTTCTTCTACAGAGCTGCTGGGTGGGTTTGAACCACTAACCTTTAAGTTAGCAGCCTGAATGAAAGCTACTTATACCATCCAGATTCCTTAACATTGTAAGTTGTTACAGGAGTAGGAAAATTTTGAGATCTAGTTCATTTTACTGAAATTAAAATGGCCCGAGTCTTTTGTTTAATCTCTGCTCTTGAAAAGTATTTTTTTAATGTATTTTTGAAAATTAAAAAGGAAATGATAGCACAAAAGGAAAATGTAGATGTGGCTTCATGATTTAACTTTTAAGAACCAAAATACCACTTTTGCAGAGAGATTATGTATAAGACCATATGAAAGAACTAACAGTTTCAGTGTATTCTTGAAATTTGTAATGCATATAAGAATGTTTTATTAGTCGGAAAAGGTCAATGTAGAAAGTTGCATATATATTGCATAACAATATAAAGCCAGTAACCAACTATCAAGAGGAATGATTAACAGAAGTGTACTAGTGTGTGTGAATGAGATACTTACCAAATGTTAACAGTGGCTTTCTTTTTGGATCCTTTGTAGTAGATTAGTGTTTTTTTTTTATTTCTTATTGGCCTTAGGATTCTATTTTAAGTTGTTTTTAAAGTAATAATCCGTTTGAGACTGTTACGTGTGTTTATGCTTATTGGTTTAATCTATAAATATTATCTAGCATGTTCTTTTTGAATTGGAAAGCAACCTTTTTTTTATTTTCTCTCCCCCACTTTTTCTTTTAAACAGCAGTTCTGTGGTGTTCTTGGTCACACATTTATGGAGTTTCTGAAGGGCAGTGGAGATTACTGCCAGGCACAGCACGACCTCTATGCAGACAAGTGAACTGTAGAAATTCATTACTACTCCACCAAGAAGCCCCCATAAGAGTGGTTAATCTGGACACAGAGGTGTTGAATTGAAATTGGCAGAGCAATTTTCAAGAGTTCTGACCTGGATGGGGTAAACCTCAGTGCACTTCCTTTCTGTTGCCTCAGTATTACTGGATCGAAGAATTGCTGCTTCTTGTTAGGAGGTTCATTTCATTTTCCATTACTCCCAACATCATACTCAAAGCACTGAGAATTTCAAGTGGAGTATTTTGAAGTAGACTTCAGTTTCTTTACATCATTTCTGTATTCACTTTTTAAAATTTGTTCATAACCCTATTGAGTATTTTTTACCTAAATTAACATGGCTCGAATGAACCGCCCAGCTCCTGTGGAAGTCACATACAAGAACATGAGATTTCTTATTACACACAATCCGACTAATGCGACCTTAAACAAATTTATAGAGGTAAGATTTTATAGTTTTAATCTCTTAAATTGATTGCAGTTTAATAGTAGATCTTATGCTAGGGAAGTGACTGTTACATTAGAAAATTTGAGATGTTATTCAAATAGTGCCAATTCCTAAAAAGAAAATAGTGATGTCTGTAGGTTAGAGATGTTAAATTATGTATTAAATTTCAAGGTTTTGTATGTGAATTTAGTTTGGATTTATAAGTTAAGGTCTAGTTGTTGATGCCTCTGAGTTTATATAATTTAAATTGTCATAGGTGTAAAATGTAGCAATGAGGCTATGATAAGAAATTTATGCCTGTAAAGTCTGCTGTCTTAGTCATCTAGTGCTGCTGTAACAGAAATGGCACAAGTGGGTAGCTTTCACAAAGTTCCTCACAGAGGCTGGAAGGCCAGATTCAAGGCTCTGGCTCTAGGGCAAGGCTTTGTCTGTCAGTTGGCCCTAGGGGAAGGAAGTTCTTTTTCTTTGGCTTTTATTCTTTCTATCTTGTCCATCACTGCTTGTTTCAGGTGCTTGTTTCATATCTCACTGATGGCCTCATTAGCATAACAAAGAAGCCTTTTCCCAAATAGAATTACAGCCACAAGTGCCAGGGTTAGGATTTACCCCCTCATACTTTGGGTGGGGGGGCACATATTTTTAGGGATATAATTTCAGTCCATAGCAGCTATTTTATGGATTTTTCATGTCTATTTAACCTAATGTCATAGACCAAACTAGTATATGTCTCGGACCCCATTTGATTTCTAGAATCCAATTTTAGGTGTTAGAAGAGTTGTAATTGGTAATGTATTGAGTCTTTTAAAGCCTGTTATTTTTAAATGTTTTGTTTTACTGTATTTTCAAGATCTTAAGAGTATTTTAAGGAGCTCTGGTAGCATAGTGCCTAAGGCACTTGACTGCTAACCAGAAGGCTGGTGGTTCAAACCCACCAGCCACTCCTCGGAAGGAAGGTTGGGCAATCTTCCGTAGTGATACTGCCTCCGCAACCCAAGGAGGGGTTGCTATGAGTAAGGTCTGACTTGAGGGCACATAACAATGACAACAACACAAGGGTATTTTAGGTCACTAAATCATATTATGTACTTCAAGTGAGTATAATCTAATCAAGTCAGATTATCATGAAGGATTCCTTTGGTTTTATTTACCTTGGTTTTTCTTTTGTTAATTGCCCCCCTTGTGTGTTTCATCCCCTTCTATGCAGTGTTAGGGTGGTGATAAACAATTTCAGAATATGAGGGGCTGTCAATTGCACCTCATAGCAACTCATAGGGTTTCTAAGGTGGCAGATATTTAGAGAAGTCGATTGCCACGTCATCCTCCCGTGGAGTGGCTGGTGGTTTGAACTGCCAACCTTCTGATTAGCAGTCAGATGCCTTAGGCACTGTGCCACCAGAGCTCCTTGTGTTAAGCATACATAGGTTATATTCATTCTCTCCATGATTTTCAGTTAGCTAACAATACCTACTAGAGAGAGGATCAAAATGTTATTAAGTGATGCAGTTAATTGGTATATGTTTTATCTAGGAACTTAAGAAGTATGGCGTTACCACAATAGTACGAGTATGTGAAGCAACTTACGACACTGCTCTTGTGGAAAAAGAAGGCATCCATGTTCTCGTAAGTACTTAACATTTTCTGTATGTTTAGGATACTGATAAATAAAAGTTTATTCAAATAACCACAGTCTTTAAAAAGCTTTATTTTTTTTTTTTATAACTGTAGAAAATGGTACAGTATCTTATTTTCCAAATAAAGGTGAAAGCTAAGCACAGGTTGTTAAGTAACAAAAGATCTTAATACATATTCAACACTTAGGCTGTGCTGCAAAACCTATGACAGCCAGAGCCTTTGTAAAGCAGAAACCTGTCAGAGAAGGAGCACTGAAGTATTTGCCACTAAAGTGAGCAGTAGACAGTGGTAAGATTACACTGTGTCAAAGTGGAAAGTCTGGTGAGACAGAGAAAAATAAGGCAGTCCCATTGAGTTCTGCTCTCACAGGTTTCATGTATTTCATTAACAGTGTGGCTTAATTAAACATAGGATAAATATGTTAAAATAAAAATACTTTCTTTTTTAAAAAACTTATATTTGGGTGTTTATTAAAGTTTTTTTCCCCCCTAGGATTGGCCTTTTGATGATGGTGCACCGCCATCCAACCAGATTGTTGATGACTGGTTAAGTCTTGTAAAAATTAAGTTTCGTGAAGAACCTGGTTGTTGTATTGCTGTTCATTGTGTTGCGGGTCTTGGGAGGTAAGGGAATTTCTTAAATCCATCTAGTGGTATTAATTTTAACTCAAGGTTCCCTTTGGGGAATCCATTTGCTTTCTTAGGTAAGTTGCTATACTAAATAAAAAAGGTGAGTAAAAGTATTCCAATACAACTGGAAGTAACAGTGCTATGATAGCAAATTCCAATTACTGTGGGAAAAATTGTTATAGAGTTAATCTTGTGCTAGTCTGTATAGGTGATACTAGAATCCTTGTCCAAACTCACTTAGAAAAGATTGAATTGTGTCTAGGAGGTGGCCTGCATTCCATTTATTAGTGTACTTTTAAAGGTAGCATTTGATTTTTACTCAGTAGGAATTCATTACAGAGTACATGCCCAGACTTAAAACCATTACCCCTCTCCCATTTCTCCTTTGCGCCCCATCCCCCACCCCACCCCCAGCCATTCTAGTGGGGAAGACTAAAATGAAATGCATTTATCTCTGGGGATTGGCAGTAGTAGGAAATAATTTTTACTGTTTGGAAATCTGGAAAGGTTGCATTTATCAAAATTTCTTGTTTCCCTGCATTTTTTTTCAAGGTGCCCCTCCAAGAATACAAATCCTAATATTTAAGCTTATTTATAATGGATTTTTTGGGATTTGGTTTTGAAAAATGATTTCTCAAAAATCTTATCTTACTAGAGCTCCAGTGCTTGTTGCCCTAGCGTTAATTGAAGGTGGAATGAAATACGAAGATGCAGTACAGTTCATAAGACAGTGAGTATTTAATGGATCCTTTCCATGCAGTCTCTATTTTCTCATTGCATGTCAGCAGATCATTACATATACCTGTTCCTCACTTAAATATCTCATTATCCAACTATTTCACACATTAATGGCCCACGTCTGGCTGTAACTAATGCTGAGGTCCCTAGAGAGGTCACTGATCAGCAGACCCTATATGTAAATAGCAGGGAAGCTCATATGGCATAGTATTTCACCAAATGGGAAAGAGGAAGGGGACGTACTTTCTCCAAGCCACCAGGGTGCCAGGCTGGGGGGTAGTGTCTAGAGTAGGGCCAATGATAACAGAACACCACCCGGTGGTCCTGGGTACCCACATGGGCTGAGGCCAGGGCAACAGTAGCTGGTGTCCTAAAAGGTAAGCCATCCTTGACCAGGGAGGAAGCAGGACTGCAGGATCTGGCCCTAGCTCCCAGGCCCAAGGGGAAGGAGGGATAGGCTGGGCTGTAGTCAGGAGCCCTAAGATGGGGTACTTGGGTACCCGGGTCCACAGTATGACCCCATATCAGCTTATCAGATGATGCACCTGTGCATCCCTTTATACTCCTTTGATGCCCCCCTCCTGGGCAGGAATGAAGTCATTGGGTGAGTGACCAGCAGCAGCTGTAGTGTAAGGTCAAGAGCAGAGGCCAAGCCTTGCTCTTGTTGATTCTCATGGATTGTTAATTGAGAGGGAACAGGGCCATCTAGCAAGAGCTGGGGGTGCTACAGTAATAGGCCAGTGGAGGGGGAGCCAGGAGACAGTATGCACACTCACCCTCCTTAACACCCATGCCCTCCTGCCCACAGGCAGGGATCCGCCAACAAAACCACACCCAAAGGTGTTTTTAAATGTTGAGGGGGTAACCCAGGGCTACCCATCCTGAAAATAGAGTGAGAGCAGGAGAGGGATGAGACCAGGGATCCCAGGGATGGGGAGGAGGGCCAGCATTTGGGCATCCTGGCTCTGAAAGACTGGGGACTGAACGCTTCCGAGGTGATATGGGGGAGGGGAAGGCAGTGACCTGAGTCGAGGCCCGGTAAGACGTTGATAGTACAGGCGAACGGTTGAGGTGATGTGGTCATCCTTCATTTTCACATAATGCCTACTTTTGCATAACAACCTGGTCTTTGGAACCTAACCATAAGTGAGGAGTAGGTTTACCATGAAAACAAATTTTTTCTAATAGTGTATCTGACCATTATATCTTTTAAGATAGTATTAAAACTACAAAATAAGTTTTTATTTATTAACATTTGACACAGAAATTCTCAAAATTCAACAAACTTAAAATAATTCTTTAAATTACTATAATGGAATAGTTACTTGCTTATTTTCATAGGCTTTCACCGTTAAGTGAGTTATATCCAAATTGCAACCACCCAATACAACAAGATAAATATTTTCATCACTCTAGAAAGTACCTTTCTCCCCTTTGTTGTCTACTTTCTTTCCATCAGAAGTAATCTCTTTCTGACTTCTGTCACCATAGATTAGTTTGTCTTCTTGGATTCATGAATTTTCATTGTTTTGTAGGCAACACTCAAGATAGAGAACATTCCTTTAGTACCTTTTTTCCATTTACAGATGTTTGTTGGTCCATATCTCTTTCTGTGCTAAGTTATAGCCTAATAATCAAAAAATAAACTCTCCCAATTATCTATAGCATATAAAACATTACAATAGAAAGATTGTACTTTAATTGCTCTTTCCCTTACATATTTTCCACCCTTCCTCTTCCCAGAAAGCGACGTGGAGCTTTTAACAGCAAACAACTTTTGTATTTGGAGAAGTATCGTCCTAAAATGCGGCTGCGCTTCAAAGACTCCAATGGTCATAGAAACAACTGTTGCATTCAATAAAACGGGTACCTGATGGTATTGCCTTGGAAGTGGAACTTGAGACAGGACCTAATTTGTCATATGTATTTACCAACATGTTAGCTTGGTGAATAAATAATTCTAATAAAGCTTCCAAAGAGTATTGAAAAGCAGTTTTACCAGGCTACAAGCTTGACAGAATTGCAGCCTCTGTGTTTGGGTTACGATCATCCTATCTGGACACTTGGCAAAATTTCTTACTGTTCATTTAAAATGTGTTTATTATTTGTACCAATTGATCTTTCTTGAAATCATGCAGTATTGTTAATAAGTCTTTAAATCTATTCCCATGCCAGAATCTTATCAGTATATAAGAAATTTAGGGAGATTAGGTGCCAAAATACCCAGCACAACACTTGTATATTTTTAGTATCATTCAGAACTAAAAAAATCCCAGGAACTATGAACACTCTAGACCTTATGTGGTTTATTCCTTCAGTCATTTCAAACATTGAAAATAAGACCTACGGTTATTTGCCTGCTCACTTTTTGTTTACATCTCCCACGTTTGTACCAGTATACATCAGGTTTGTGCAACCATTCATATTTGTTGGTTTTTACCAAGTCTTACAGTGATTATTTAATGTCTTTCTGTAAATCTCATTTTGTGCTTTTATGGAAAACTTTAATTTTGAAAAATCTGCATTGTACAGAAGCACATGTCTTTAATGTCTCCAGACAAAAAAAAAAAAAAAAAGCCTTACAGTTAATTTAATGTTTGCACTTAGGGGGTGCAACTTAACAGGGAGGGCCTGAAAAAAGAATGGGAGGGGGCTATTAAATATTTTTAGTAAAATGTTGCCTTTGTCTTGTGCAGAACATGTAGAATATGCTCTTTAATTTAGTAAATATTTTTTTAAAAGGTAGAGATGCTTTGTTATCATAGCTAAAACTTAATCATAAAGTATCTGGAATTTTTTTTTCCCCCATATCAATTGGAAGCTGTTTACCAACTTACTTTTGTTTGAAGTGTGATTTTATTTTTCCTTTTCTTTCCAACCTCTCTTGCAAAAAAAAAAAAGTGGATTTCTGCTAATGGATTGAGCAGACTCTAATTTTTATATGCCTTTTGAGCTGTGTAACTTAATATTTGGATACTTGATAATTTGTTTTATTATGTAATTGATAAAATGGTGATGTGTATTAATGTTAGTTCAACCATATATTTATACTGTCTGGGAATGTGTGGTTATAGTTCTGTGGGAGAAATAATTTGTCAGTGTTCACCAGCTTGTAAAAACCTAGTTGCGAAAGCTTAAACATTAAATAAATAATGAAATGCATTTATCATGTTGAAATTGTTGTGCTTAAGATTAACAACTTTTAAAAAACTATAGAAATGATTGCACTTCATTTACGTCCTTTGAATTAAGTGTATCCTCATTTTATAAAAGATTAAATTATAAACAAATACTGTTAGTCATCAGAACTATAATACTAATACAAGCTATACTATATATACTGTATGTATACAGGATATGGAAACTTTGGTGGCTTAGTACCTAAGGCATTTGACTGCTAACCAGAAGGCTGGTGGTTCAAATCCACTAGCCATTCCTCGGAAGGAAGTTTGGGCAATCTACTTCCGTAGTGATGCCTCAGAAACCCAAGGAGGGGTCGCTATGAGTCAGATCCGACTCAGTGGCAGTCAGTGACATACTGTATAAGCTTCCTTTGTGATTAAAAAGTCTAGATAATATTGAACTAATGTACTGTTCTCTACTGAAGAGACCAAAAAAAAAGAAGAGTTGATTTGAAATTGATTTTCACCAGTTAGTTCTTGGCAGCTTGGCTTCTGAACCTGTTTCATATTTGCAGATTGATAATTAACGTATCTTTACAGACTGTAAATTAGTGGAGCTTAAATGTTTGGTACATGAGAGCTTAATGAATAATGTGTTGTATTTAGGTGCTAGCAAGTAAATTCCAACCCTATGGACAAAAAACGAAACAGTGCCCTGTCCTACACACTCAAAATTGTTGCTGTTTGAGCCCATTTTTGCACCCACTATGTCAGTCCATCTTGTTGAGGGGCTTCCTGACCATCTACTTTGTCAAGCATTAATTATGTACTTCTGGCATTGGTCCCTCCTGATAACATGCCCAAAGTACATGAAATGAAGCTGTTCTGGCAGTCCACGATATATTCAATATTCTTCCCCAACATGCTAATTTAAATGTGTCAATTGTTGGTGGCTCTTTGTTCATTGTACAGCTTTCACATGCATATGAGGCAATTGAAAGTACCATGGCTTGAGTCAGGCTCACCTTAGTCCTCACAGTGACATCTTTGCTTTTAGCACTTTTAAAGAAGTCTTAACAGATTTGCTCAATGTAATATGTCATTTGATTACTTGACTGTTGCTTTGGTGGGTATTTATTGTGGATCCAAGTAAATGAAACCTTTGACAACTTCAGTCTTTTGTCCATTTATCATGATGTTGCATTTTAGTCCAATTGTGGAAGACTTTTTGTTTATGTTGAAGTATAAGCCATACAGAAGGCTATAGTCTTTGATCTTCACCAGTAAGTGTTTCTTTCAGCAAGCAAGGTTGTATCTGCATATTGCAGGTTGTTAGTCTTTTGGTACTAATGCAGTGTTCTTCGTTCTTTGTACAGTCCAGTTTCTCAGATCAGCATACAGATTGAATAAGTACGGTGAAAAGGATACAACCCAGACATGCTTTTTCTGATTTTAAACCATGTAGTATCCCTTTGTTCTGTTCCAACGACTGCCTTTTAGTCTATGTACAGGTTCTTCATAAGCACAATTAAGTGTTCGGTAATTCCCGTTCTTTGAAATGTTACCCATAGTTATGTTCCACAAAGTCGATTAAACACAGGTGGACATCTTTCTGGTGTTCTCTGCTTTTAGCAAGCAGACAACAGCAATGGTGTCCTTGGTTCTATATCCTCTTCTGAATCCAGCCTCAATTTTCTTACAGTTACCTGTTCTTGTATTAATGGTATACACTTTTGAATTATCTTTAGCATAAGTTTACTTACGTTTAATATTAATGATAATGTTAATAATTTTCCTGTTTTGTTGGAATTACTTCCTTTGCATAGCTATGAAAAGGACAAGTGGCTTCATCTTTAAAAAAAAAAAAAAAAAAAAGCAGTTGCAAGTGTAAAAGACTCAACTTGAGTAAAAAGTGATAGTCTACCTTGTGTTTAGTCGTGAGAGAATTGTTTCTATTGCTCCATGCCAGTTTAGCACTTCCTAATCTCTAGAAACTTAGCTAGGGATAAAAGGTGGGGGAACAGAGTTACCTGGAGGCCCTTGGTTTCTAAATTTCAGAACTTTTGTGATTGGGGCTAGTTGTCTAACTTGATTTACTTTTGATTCTGTCCCCCCCCCCC